TGCTTTCTGTTGCTGGTATGTTGGTCCCTGGGAAAATGGAGCCGTCCACACATGTGGGCTCCGGGAAAATGGCACCCACTGACGAACACATGCTCTGGACTATAAATAAGTTTGCATAGACGTCAATTAGCAGGCATATCCCTTTTGAAAACGTGCATGCGCACAAAACACGTCAGGGAAGGAACCTGTGCATTGACGTCACGCCGCTGGGGCTGCACAAAGGTCCGGCGGCCATCTTACTAACTCCTCAGGACTTCTCATCACGGTTTGCATGCTGCTTGGTGTCATCATCCCTGTCTAAGATCATCCTGGCCTTCATGGTCCTATGACTGATGGGTGTGCTGCCTGACTTACCTAGGGAAGAAACCAACTGTTCATGCGCATTTTATATGTGCTTCTGATGAGTGCATATAAAGGAATACTTTTCACGGATTCACCAGCACTGGATATCACCTGTTCACGGATTTATTTTCTGGACTTTTTTTAATAACTGTTGTTAATCGCAATTGTGTCATTTGATATATGTTCACCATCAATCACTATTCATTTTATATCGCCCAACGCTGACCACTCAGTGTCAAGGATACCATCATCAAAGTTCTCAGTATATTAATTATTGCTATACCAATAACTCATGAACTCTCGCACTTTAGACTGGTAGCGCTGATCAGAGCGCCTCACTGTGTCTGCCTTTTAATATTGCTGCTATTCGTTCTATTGCTGCTTCTATTCACCTTATTATTTATTTATGTATATGCACATGTTTTAGAAGTATTTCATTTGATTCAACTTTTATATTCATTTACCCATCACTTGGATGCGATTGACAGGTAGATCTCGGTGGGATCTACCAGTCACCTGCCTGTGATTGACTGGTAGATAGTGGCGCAACCCCTGAGGACTAGTTTTGGAACCATGGTTGAGAAACCTTGGCCTATTATTATATAGGATTTATATAGTGCCAACAGTTTGCGCAGCGCTTTACGTGAGGGCAAACAGTACAGTTACAGTACAATTGAATATATGGGGAATCAGAGGGCCCTACTTGTTAGAGCTTACGTTCTTATTACACTGTATTCACTATTTTATTTATATGTAGGTGTGAACTTTGATCTGCATGTTCATATCAATCAAAAACCCTGCAAGGAAAAAGCTTTTTAAAAAAAGCATATAGGGGGGGGGGGGAGGTTACAAGAACCAATGACCTAGCTCACACAGGGTGGGTTGCTGCTATTGCAACACATACTGAATTTGACATCAAGAACCCTTTCGTCAATGGCTCCCGAACCAGTCTATAACAGATATTTTACTTTTTTTTTTTTTTTTTTCTTTCCGTTTTCATTTATTTTGGTTTTTTTTTTTTTTTTTTTGCATTAAAAAAATTTGCAAAAATGTTTATATAATTTTTATGTAGGTAAAATATAGAGTTGAAAGTATAAATACAGTAAAACTACTTCAAATAAAAAAAAAAAAACAACTTTTTACACTTATTTTTGCAAAAGATAAATAGAAGAGGAAATACATTTTGCAAAAAAAAAAAAAAGCCCTAGTTTGTCCCCCTGAAAAACAATGTATATATTTTTGTTGTCTTAATAAGCCTAAAGTAACTGCTGAATAATTAGGCCTATAAGGAGGAATAAGTACAATAGCTGAAGTGTTTATCCTCTGGAAGGTTTTATCCCCTTTCATGACCAGGGCATTTTTTGCTATTCCGCACTTTACTGCTTGCACTGGCACACCTTTTTTAGTTTCTATTTTAAAATTTCACAAATAAATGATCTTTCTTCATAAATGTAGGCCAAAATGTATTTTACTACCTTTCTTTAGTAAAAAATAATGTATATTATTTAGTCTGTGTGAAAGTTAGAGCCTACAAATTATGGTATTATATACAGTATCTCACAGAAGTGTGTCCACCCCTCACATTTTTACGTATGTACATATTTTATATCTTTTCATGTTAAGAAATGACACTTTGCTACGATGTAAAAGTAGTGAGTGTACAGCTTGTATAACAGTGTAAATTTGCTGTCCTCTCAAAATAACTCAACACACAGCCATTAATGTCTAAACCGCTGGCAACAAAAGTGAGTACACCCCTAAGTGAAAATGTCCAAATTGGGCCCAAAAGTCAATATTTTGTGTGACCACCATTATTTTCCAGCACTGCCTTAACCCTCTTGGGCATGGAGTTCACCAGAGCTTCACAGGTTGCCACTGGAGTCCTCTTCCACTCCTCCATGACGATATCACGGAGCTGGTGGATGTTAGAGACCTTGCGTTCCTCCATCTTCCGTTTGAGGATGCCCCACAGATGCTCAATAGGGTTTAGGTCTGGAGACATGCTTGGCCAGTCCACCACCTTTATACTCAGCTTCTTTAGCAAGGCAGTGGTTGTCTTGGAGGTGTGTTTGGGGTCGTCATGTTGGAATACTGCCCTGTGGACCAGTCTCAGAAAGGAGGGGGATCATGCTCTGCTTCAGTATGTCACAGTACATGTTGGCATTCATGGTTCCCTCAATGAACTGCAGTTCCCTAGTGCAGGCAGCCCCAGACCATGACACTCCCACCACCATGCTTGACTGTAGGCAAGAAACACTTATATTTGTACTCACCTGGTTGCCGCCCACACACGCTTGACACCATCTGAACCAAATATGTTTATCTTGGTCTCATCATCCACAGGACATGGTTCCAGTAATCCATGTCCTTAGTCTGCTTTGGTCAACCATGGCGAGGCCTGTTCTGCGTGGAACCTGTCCTATTAAACGGCTGTAGCTCCCCAGTGCCGATAGCATTCCTGCAGCCCCAGACCATGACACTCCCACCACCATTCTTGAATGTTGGTAAGGCACACTTGTCTTTGTACTCCTCACCTTGTTGCCGCCACACACGCTTGACACCATCTGAACCAAATATGTTTATCTTGGTCTCATCAGACCACAGGACATGGTTCCAGTAATCCATGTCTTTAGTCTGCTTGTCTTCAGCAAACTGAGGACTTTCTTGTGCATCATCTTTAGAAGAGTCATTCTTCTGGGACGACAGCCATGCGGACTAATTTGATGTAGTGTGCGGTGTTTAATCTGAGCACTGACAGGCTGACTCCCACCCCTTCAACCTCTGCAGCAATGCTGGTAGCACTCATACGTATACCTCCCAAAGACAACCTCTCGATATGACGCTGAGCACGTGCACTCAGCCTGTTTGGTCAATCATGGCGAGGCCTGTTCTGAGTGGAACCTGTCTTGTTAACCCTCTGTATGGTCTTGGCCACGTGTTGCAGTTCAGTTTCAGGGTCTTGGTAATCTTCTTGTAGCCTAGGCCATCTTTATGTAGAGCAACAATTCTTTTTTTTCAGATCCTCAGAGAGTTCTTTGCCATGTTGAACTCCCAATGACCAGTATATGAGAGTGAGAGCGATAACACCAAATTTAACACACCTGCTCCCCATTCACACCTGAGACCTTGTAATCACCTTTGTTGCCAGCGTTTTATACATTAATGGCTGTGTGTTGAGTTATTTTGAGGGGACAGCAAATTTACACTGTTATACAAGCTGTACACTCACTACTTTACATTGTAGCAAAGTGTCATTTCTTCAGTGTTGTCACATGAAAAGATATAATAAAATATTTACAAAAATGTGAGGGCTGTGAGATACTGTATTTAGTAAGAGGCATGGCGAGTTTTTTAAAGTTGTAATTTTTGCCACAATTTTTTGAAAAATGAAGAAATTAAATAGTTTGGGGGGGGGGTTCTCATTTTTTTTTTTTTTTTTTTTTTTAACATACTGTCACCAGTGCAGTACAGCATCCCAATGTGACTGCTGTGGCGTTGATCCAGGATACCAGCTGATAACAGAATATAAATTAAAAAATCAAATCTTTTTTAATTAATTTTATTAAACTTTTTTAAACTTTTTTCTTCTTTCTATTTTACTGTTTTTTTGGTAAATTATTATTATTATACATACTCTCATCAGAGTGGTTCGCTATCACCATAGTGACACTGTACTTCTCTATGGGGGGGATGTTAAGATATTTATTTATTTGAATTTCATTTTTATAAGCAATAGTTAACGATAATGAATGGCTTTCCATTCATGACAGCTTTCTTTCTGTTGACATTCTGTGATTGGCTACAGCTAATCACAGGGTGTCAGGTACCAGGTGATGTCTGTGGATCATCAGTGCCGACCTGTCCTCTGACAATTGCCGGTTATAGGCCGTACTTTCCTCGCGCTGTGACAGTGCAAGGAAAGTGCAGCCGATAACCGTCAACTGCATTTTCCGGTGTTCCGCTGTGTCATTGGACACTTGGTAAAAGGCCGCTGTGATTGGCTTTTTACCACATCACGTGATCAGCTGTGTCAGTAGGACACAACGATCATGGAGATCACCAGGTGCGTGCCCCCGAGAGGGCGTGTTCTCCCAGGACTTTCTCCCAGGACTGGACAACCGCTCTGCAGCTACAGTGCGGTTGGCAAGTGGTTAAAGGGAGACCATACATTATACTGGTTTTTTTTTTTTTTTTGTTCAACCAGTGGGTTGAATGAAAAAAAAAAATGTGCTCTTTCTTCCATTCACATAATATGTGGGAATTACTCTGCAGCACTGTTATGTTACAGTGATCAGTGTTGGCTATAGCTGGCATCACTGATCAGGCAACAAAAATAAAAAACGACACAGGCTGGGTTATACAGACATCCATCAAGTCCATCAGACTTCTGTATGACCAGCTTGCCCATAGATGGATCAAAATTCAGCTGGTCCCTGCTGTACCTGGGCAAATTTCCATCTATCTACGTCTGGCACATGGTTATTTGCATTTCTGCTGTTGTGATCTCCTTGTACTTCCAATATGCCATTTTTTTAACCTGCCCTAACCATGCAAAAATTTGGATGCTTAGGTTTACAATACAAACTTTTCTCAGCCATTTAAACAAACAAAATGACAAAAGTTTCAGTGTGTTATTATTTCATGATTTTTTGTTTCAGATGATACAAATGATATGTGGGAAGATGAAGAAGATGAAGATGAAGGTTTGGCCGGACAACTGTTATCAGATATTATATCCAGCAATAAATATGGTAACTCCATTTGTTCTGTAAATTGTTTCCAGAGTCAAACCACGCAGTGTTTCATGAGTTAATAAAACATTATAAATTTGCCTTTTGGTTGTTCCAAAAATATCCTGTATTTGTGCGCTGACAAAATGCTATGTAAAAAGAATTGAAAATTAATGTACATTATATTTCTACATAATTTCTTCAAATATTTGAAGCCACAAAATGCATTTAGGGACAAACTCCTAACTCTTTGAATACAGTTTCAGACCACTTAAATAAATGTTTTTTTTTTTTTAAATAATTGTTTGGCAGATGATGATTATTATGAAGATGATGAGGAAGATGACCCTGATGTTCTCAAAGACCCATTGTACCAAATAGATTTACAGGTACAACTATGCTGATGGATTTTTAGAAATTAGCCTGCGATAATATCTGCTTATGTTTGTTTTTGTTTTTTATTTTAGAAATAAACTTTTCAGAATCATTATCGTCCATGTTGGTTACACTGGGCATAGTTTAATGTGGCCCTACACAGTACTGCAATACATGCACAGTTTTGGTGCAGTCATGCAGATAACCCTCGCTAATATGGTTAGATGAAGACTGCCAGCTAGATTAGAACAATTTTGCTGATGTGCTGCAGTTTTTTGCTGAAACATCAGCAATAACCCAGCATAGCATTTATGAAGTTAAATGCGGGAGCTTGTACAACGTTCAATTAATACAAATTAAAATCCATGTACTGTCATCATAAATCTTTTTTTTTTTTTTTTTTTTAACATAATACAAAACTAGAGAAAAAGGGAGTAATAATCCGCTTCAAAAAAGGATACTGTTTGTACCATGAAGTGTTCACTGGACCCAGTGCAATACCACTTCTCGAAGCTAGAACACTTTACTAATGGCTTTTTTTGCAGGCCCCCTGCAGCTGCACTGTTCTATGAATCAAGGGCTTAAAAGGAAGAATTGTGACTGTTAGTGGCTGTCTTCTGCCTTATGGTATGTCAGCAAAGTGTAGCCCTTTGGCAGAGGACAGATGACCTTTGACACGAAAGAGTAATCATGGTCATCTATGGTTTAGAGTACTTTTATATGATTTGTCATGAGGGTCTATAGGATTAGGATATTGCTTATGTTTTGTAGTAGTAGGTCTGTAATAAAGGAAACCTATTTTGAAAAGTACAGTAGCTGCCTCTGTTGATCTCCTTGTAAAAATACCAGTTGCCTGGCTGCCTGCCTGTGGTTACAGTACCTTCTCACTGAACAAGTATGCAGATTAGAAAGTCCATGTGATGACTCTATATTTTCTCAAGAAAACCTGCTCTGGAAAAAATGGAGGCTACATAATCTTTGAAAATGTTTCCTGGCTGCAATGTTGATCCAACGTCCTTCAGTACTTGGTTCACAGCACAGTTTGCAGATAAGTTCTGATTTCAGTCTGACTTTTGTACATGCCTGGAAGGGCAGTTATTCAGATATTGTTGAAGAAACATGGGCTAATTTACTAAAACAGAAGAGTGCAAAATTAGGTGCACCTCTGCTTAGAAACCAATCAGTTTCCATTTTTTTTTTTCTTTTTTTTTGTCAAAGCGTAATTAAACAAGCTGAAGCTAGAAGTTGATTGGCTACCATGTACAGCTGCATCAGATTCTGCACTCTCCAGTTTTAATAAGTCAACCCCGCAGAGACAGTCCTAAACCCAATATTTATATCCCAAAACTTTATCCTTCATTAGAAGTGTGCCATTATGGCATATTTGAAGCTAAATTTCAGGCACAAAAAAATTACAATTAAATGTTCCTTAATGGCCACAAATCTTTTTGTGTACGAAATGCCTTTGCAAACCCACATATAATCTTGTAAAAGCAGCAGTGACATCACTGTGCTGCACATAGTTCAGAAAGCAGAGCAGTGTGAGGGATCTATCAGGCCCTCCTACTACAGGCTGCCTGCAGAAAATCAGAGGGGGCAAATACAAGATCAGTCACTTTGCACAAGGAAAGTGAGCAGCAGTGACCAGTCTTCACAGGAGGCTTATGCACAGAGATCAAAGTTTAACACTGGATTACTGCACAGATCAGGAAGTACACAAAGATTCAAGCAAGAATACACATTCATTACGAGAATACACTTGTCTTTACACAATATTTGCTTATCTCAGAATTCAGATTTATTTTGCTATGCCAGTTCCATTAATTGCACTGCTGCAACCTATTTAAGTTGTAGTGCGTATCTGGAGTGATTTTGTAACCTTAATCTCCCTTTTGGGGTTGAGTGAATAGTTCTTTGAATGAAGCACAACTGACTGATTTAATTTTTTTTTTCATTTTATAGACAAATCTGACAGAGTTTCTGCAGCAATTTGCCCAACAACCATGTTTTTTTTCCGCATTCTCTGAACACTTAAATGCCAACGAACGTCGAATCCTTCAATCAATAGGCATATGAGGATACAGGACTAAAGTATAATGAAATAATTCATTCTATGAAGTTGCAGCCCAGCACAAGGTTTACCCTGGGACTTGAAAGCACTTGCTGGTTGTATTTTTTTGACAGACTGACCCCAGTGATGTTTGACAAGGTCTGTTTTCCATTGACATTACTTGGGGCACAATTTCACGCCGTTGCCATTCATCAATAATTGATCTTGTTGGCATATAGTGAGTGGTACACAGTAAGACGGGGTTAGCTGTCATCTGAAAAGCTGTTACACATTTTGCCGTGTAAACTAAACTGATTTTATTCTTAACCCCTACGAAGCGTCAGTCCTCAGAATTTAGCGGTCTTGGTTTTAGTATATTAGTATTCTAATTCATGTGGGTGATATCCCACTTTCCACACAACTTCCATATTCAGACCTTAAAAACACGGTGCCTTGTATGATGATGCAGAGAGTAGTTATGCACAATTGTTCAGGGCCAAGTCAACCTCTGCACTATACTGCTGTGTCCTTGTCTTATTTCGTCAGGAGGCAAGACAGGGAAAGCACAAATGGCAGAATTATCCAACTGTAGCTGTAGTTTTCTAGTGCTGCTAATTTAAATAAAATGATGCCTTTAAGGGCATATAGAAAAAGAAATCTGGGTGTAAATAAGAGCCATGTAAATCTCATCTTGAAACCTGCTGAGGAACGTGCATTTGTTCTATTAGGATGTTTTTATAGGTACAAATCTATTCACCACTGCATCCAATATTATGAAAAGTATTTGAGAGAACGTTTAGTCAGAGTTAATGTAAGGCTATGCTTAGACATTCAATGAATTTCAGCCTATACCACCAGTGCTGGGAAAACACATTCCTGAGGATTATCTGATCATATCTGCTGTGGAAAACTTTCAAAACTATCATGCTCAGAAAAATGTACAATCAAATGAATGAAGGAGCTATTAGGAGATATCCAAGCCTCAACTCTAACTCGATCTTTCACTTATAACATGGACAATTGTGAAGACATCTAGTGTGGCGTTTTTTTTTTTTTCTTATCTTTTGCAAAAAGACTCTGATAGAAGTCAATTAAGAAAAATAAAATATGTGAATTTATAACGCATCAATTTCAAGACCTGGTATTGTGTTGTCTGAGCTAACAACTTTCAGTAAGAGTCATGGTTCAAAGCCAGTTACATTCAAATGCCATGTCCATGCTGTGCTCCATATGTAGTGTGTGTGTGTAATATATATTGTGTGTATATATATAATTTTTTTTTCCCCCCTAGCAATTTCAGTACAAATTATAATTTTCTATAGCCCCAAATCTGCAGTGTTGAATTCTTCAGTGGAATGTCCACCTGTTTGCCTACAGGATGGGTTTTCCAGTGAGGTAAATAGAAGCCATTCAACTCCTCGCTGGGTACAGCTCTGAAGATTTCTGGCCATTTTGGGCAAAACCTATGTGATTCCAAGAAGGCTAACCAATGAAGATCAATGACTGACTTCTGTACAGGGTTTCGTTTTTAAATTTACTGGTGAAACCATTGTCAGCAGAACAGGAAATATTCTACCTAACACATTACCACGGAAAGAAAATTGCTTCTGTAGCATTTTATTTTTATTTTTTAGTTGGTTTTCGAAAAGATCTTGCTGATCAATTTGTTCTTCTGTTACCTAGCTTGTTTTTTGTACAAGTTAGCAGATGTAGTGAGAGTGTTTCATGTACTTTCAGTTGTAATTTTACATCAAAAACATTGGATTATAAAGTGTATATTAACTGTATTATAGTTATGATTGTATAGGAGGTGTGTGTATATTGCCACTCATATTATTTTATTTTTGCAGATCGAGCACCGTAGAGGTTATGGCTACTTTTTTATGGGTTTCTTTAATGCTACGGAGCAACTAAATAAAACCCTACATTAAAATATCCTGATTTTTGACAGGCGACCAGAGTGAGAGTTGCATATGGCATTCATGATTTATCTTAAAAACTAGAGCTCATAAGGAGAGCAGGTCTAACATTTGAGGCACCAAAATGTGTGTTGGCCTATGTTATTTATAGCTGCCTGATAAAAGGGATCTTTCCATAGTGTCTCTTCTTTCATAGCCTTGTTAAGGAAGGCCCAGCAACATTCTCTAGGTCTTTCATGCTGGTGTGTGAGTGTGAACTTTGAAGAATGGCACCTTAAAGGGGTTCAAGATTTTTTCTGACTTTATCATGACCATCTTGACCTTGAGGAGGGTCCAATTCTCTAAACCCCGCAATGATCTCTGGATGGCCAACTCAGATAAGCAGACTTGGCAGAGCTGAGCAGACAAAGCACATCAACCTCCTAAAAATGCATTTTGGAAACATTTTGTGATGTTATACAAGGGATTCTTTGCAGTAAGTGTGATCAAAGCAAACCTGAAGTAAAAATACATGCTATGTGAGGATGTTCTGTAACTTTTCTTTTTTATTTTCAGTGGACCTTTTGATTTCCAGTCTGCTCTGGTATTTATATATCATCACATCATTCTGATTTAAGAGACTGGCATGTCTATTGAAAGCATATCTAAACACCAAAACAAACATTTTATATTTTTATCTTACCAATTGTTAGATGTGGTGGCTACATTTGTTTTTTCTTCAGGCAAAGAATATTTACAAAAAAAAACAAAACCTCCTTTTCCAGGAGTCTATCAGGACAGCACCCATGAGAGACCCCGGCTCCTCCCCACTTGAGGAAACATCATCTCCACCTACATTTAGGAGCAGCCTCCCCACTAGACCCCCAGTTCATGGATTAGCACCTCTGGTCACCTACGGAAACACAAAGCAGGCGACAGCTGCCAGTCAGCAAGCTCGGAAAACACACCAATGGGTGGGTAACTGGCGCTTTCCTGAAAGACTCCTGGAAAAGGCATTACGGGCAAGTGTAACTTTGACTTTCCCACTAACGTCTTTCAGGACCGCACCCATGAGAGGATATGCCAGCACTTACCACTAAGGCAGGACAACTGCCTGCGGGACCTTACGCCCGAAGGCCTGCTCCTTTACTGCAGGACAACTGCCTGCAGGACCTTACTCCCAAAGGCCTGCTCCTTTATTGCAGGACAACTGCCTGCAGGACCTTACTCCGGAAGGCCTGCTCCTTTATTGCAGGACCTTATGCCCGAAGGCCTGCTCCTTTACTGCAGGGCAACTGCCTGCAGGACCTTACTCCCAAAGGCCTGCTCCTATATTGCAGGACAACTGCCTGCAGGACCTTACTCCAGAAGGCCTGCTCCTTTATTGCAGGACCTTATGCCCGAAGGCCTGCTCCTTTACTGCAGGACAACTGCCTGCAGGACCTTACTCCCGAAGGCCTGCTCCTTTATTGCAGGACCTTACTCCCGAAGGCCTGCTCCTTTTATTGCAGGACAACTGCCTGCAGGACCTTATGCCCGAAGGCCTGCTACTTTACTGCAGGACAACTGCCTGCAGGACCTTGCTCCCAAAGGCCTGCTCCTTTATTGCAGGACAACATGTCCGAAAGGCCTGGTCTTTACCGCAATCAGATCAAGTCTGTAATGCTTTACGAAGGTGTTGAAATTTTACCAAGTCGTGGCTCTGCATATCTGTCCAGGCATAGCACCAGCCAGTTCTGCATACGTAGCTGCCATTGCCTGCGTAGAATTTGCCACAATGCCCTCTGGAACCTTCAGCCCTTCTACCAGATATGCCTGTCTAATGGCAAGCTTCAGCCACCTTTTCTCACCCCAGATAATAACACAGAAAGGGAATCAGACTTTCTTATATCCTTTTGTCCTATCTAAATAATGGAGAATATACCTTTTAACATCTAACGTGTTAAATTGCCTTTCCTGGTCACACAAGGGGTTAGAACAAAACGTAGGTGAGGTAATTTCCTGGCTATGATGAAAACTTGATACCACCTTGGGTAAAAGAAAAAAGAAGCCAGATCCATTCTGAATCTTATTTGGTCCAAAAAAAATCTGAAGGAAGGGAGTTCTAACTGATAAGTCTTCCAACTCACTCTGTGTTGTCTTCCAACTCCTTGCTGTGTTAATAGCTACCAAAAAAAACTTTTAAGGGTCAAGGCTCTCAGGGAACCTGACTCCAATGGCTCAAAAGGGATACCTGTCAATGTATTGAGCACGGTCATACGACCCTAGGCTTTTGCCTGGCCAAAAATCTAAAGAACCTGACTAAGTGCGGCTCTAGTCAAGGAAGACACCAGAAAGACACTTAAGCGCCTAGACCTGACTCTTTAACGTATTCAACACTAGTCCTTTGTCTGTCCCACACTGAAGGAATTCTAGGACAGACACTAAGCTATGCACTTCCAATTAATTTTCGGCACACCACTTATTGAAGAGTTTCCTTAAGGTGGATTGAATGAGTCTCCTTTTTACTATTTAAGAGGGTCGATACTACTCTGGCAGAAAACCCCTTCCTCCTAAGGAGCTGTTCCTCAGAAATCAAGCCGCTAGATTCACCCTGTCTACCTGGGGCCACAGGACAGGACCCCCGCAAGAGAAGATCCTCCAGGCACAGCAACATCCAAGGAGGGCATGTCACTTGGACCTGCATTTTCTTGGAATCACTGGCAGCAAAGCCAGGGGGGGGAAAGCGTAACATGGGAAAGTCCCACCGTTGCATCAGCGCATCCAACTCCCCATCCCCAACGATTCATGGAAAAGAATACTGGAGCTTTCGTGTTCTCCCTCAGATGCAAATAAGTCTGCATGGTGTTCCCCGTTCCTGTGTGATGACTTGATAGACCTCCTATTTGAGCACCCACTCCCAACTCCTTCAGCTGTCTCCTGCTCAGGAAGTCTGCCACCTGTTTCAGCTCCCCCATCAGGTGGACAGTGGATAGTGAAGCTACATTGGCCTCAGCCCAATTGAGCAGCTCCAAGGACAGTGACCAAAGGGCCCTGCTTCAGGTTCCTCCCTGTCTGTCGACGTACGCCACCATAGAGGATTTGACCAAGTGCACCCATACGTGCTGCCCCCTGCAGCTGCTCCCAGA